ATAATAATACAAGAATCTCGTCATAACTGCTATACCGGTACTGATGTGTAGTTTCGCACACTTTTACATGCAATGAATGAATCGATTTATTCATTACTATCTCTACCTCTGTTTTGAAAGTCTATTTGCATCTCAAACACTACATTCACTGTATTGTGAAAGTCATGTGAGTTTTAATTTGTATTTATATTTACAAATAACATGTTATTTAACAATTTATAGTGTATTTTATATTTTATACTTAGTTATTATTTAAAATAGAGATTAATTTATTAAAACCTTTTGAAAAATATATTGAATAATAATTTTTGTATAATTTTGTATAATCATTAATTATACTGTAATATTGATGTATTTGTAATATTGTAATATTGATGTTTGCGCATACAGTATATGTAAAACATATTTTCATAATTTATAATGAATTAAATACAGTATTAATATTACAATTGTGTTAATATAACATTAGATATTAATTATAGTAGTATTCGGGTTTTTAATTAAATTATTAAATTTCTCATTCTCATAATAAAACATTTAATTTTTAGTGAATTATTATATAATACATGAGATGACTTAAATGTCAAGCACATCTGCTTATTATATATTCAAAATTATTTCCTAATCCAAATCATTATTACAAATATTCATAAATATTGATTTATTCTTGCATTCAATCCTTCCAATTATAACTAATTATTTTTATTGCATTTATAAGAAAACGCAATTATAAGGAAATTCTAATTTTTTCAATAAATTCTTTAGAAATAAATATCAATAATAAATGAATTAATGAATTTCTGTATATTAAATGGGAATGAGTTTGGAGTTTGAATTTGGGACTCAATTTGAGTGACGAGAGAATGAGTGCTCATTTAGTGCTCATGTCTGATGACGAGGGGATCACAAAAAGTGGTGTGTCTTCTAAACCCAATGCAAACTCCAATCCGAGTGCACATAGTATTCAATAATAACACACTATTATCTTAATCTCAAAGTTATTTTTTACTCTTCTTTATGAAACTCTAGTATCACTTCTTCCCAAAAGAAATAACACATCACAACACGTCATGCAATCGTCACAAAAGCATTTTCACTATAAATTCAAAACTCATTTTAAGATCATTAAGAGAATCACATCTCATGTCTCCGATATTATTAAATACTTTATTCATAACAACAATAATAAAACAGTAATAAATTTAATTTGTGTGCAAAAGTTTATTTCCCATAAATAGTGATATTATGTCTGCATTATTGTTGAATTAATCGTTATTGTCTTAACGCAATCGTCAAGAACCTTACAACTGATTAAATAGTTTGGCGTTTGATTTGCATATCAGTGAAATACAACTTTATATAGAAATAATTAGCAATAATAAGAATAAAGCGCTACAAAAATGCGTTCGTTGGGCCCATTGGTGGGTGCCATAGACCAGGGCACCAGTTCCACCAGATTCCTGGTGTTTAGCTCCCAAACGGGTGAACTCGTGACCTATCATCAGATGGAAATGAAACGCATTTTGCCCGAAGAGGGTTGGGTAGAACAGGACCCGATCCAGATCTACCAGTCTGTGGTCGAGTGCATCGATACCGTCGCCAAAAAGTTGCAACATTTAGGCGTTGACATCAATGATATCAAATGTGTTGGTCTCACAAACCAACGCGAGTCCACCATTGTATGGGACAAAGTGACAGGTATTTAAATTAATTGTCAATTTCTTAGTCATTATATTTAATGATAAATATCCTCTAAATTTTTATCAATTCAGACGTTTATTTATTAAGGAATCTTTCATTTTCCCTTATTTTACTTGTTTTCGGGTTATTTTACACATTTTCCATTATGTTTTATTTTTAATTTTGGTGCATTTCTGTATATTATTAGTCTGTTTGCAATGTTATTTAATGGTATTTACTAGTTTTACCAATATTTTGCGAATAGAAAATATTTAGTGTTAATTTATAAGTTTGCATTTTTTAATGTTAACAAAAATTAAGGGATCCAAAAAACCTTCAAACTCGTTCGTTTGCTTTTTTGACAATTTATTTTCATTAAAGTGACATAATTTCGCAATTTTTTCAAATCAGATAATTATTTTTGACAAATCAATATAAATCAACTCTCTTTAAGCATTGAATTTAGTTTTTTCTAATGAATTTGTTTTATTAAGTCATATCATATTCTATACATTCTTTGCAAGTTAATTTAAATGTAAAAATGTAAACATTTTCACAATAATTATTAAGATTAACTTTGTTCAATGACATTGAGAGTACGTTTGTTCTTAAGCACAGATAGTAAATGATAATAATTTTTATTTATAAATAATAATTACATAAATTGAGTGAAATTATTTAAATTATTGGTGTATTTCCATAGAATTTTTTGTGTTTATAATTTTATATTTTTATAAAAACTTGTTTTGCTATTAATTCTTTACTTGAATTTACTTATAAACAACTTTCTTATAAAATACAAAAAATATTTCTTCTTTAATTGATTAAAAGAATTAATTTTGTTATAATTTTATCATGATTAAGTAAATATGTTTACAATTATTGCATTAAATATTATTGAGTAGCGTATTGTTGTATTATTGTTAGAGATATTTAAATGAAGTTTATATTAAATTTTTTTTGCAAACTATTAGATATAATTTGTTAAAAATAAAAAATAACTGTAGTACATTTAATAACTATTTACAAGTAAGCTGTTAATAAACACCTTTGACAATTAAATATATAACTAGCAAATTATGCTTAATTTTTTAGTGAACTAAATTTTGTTATCAGTTGAAGTTTTGTTATGCAATGTTTGAAAATAACTAATATATTATAATTTAGAAACTTATAACAAATGTTATAAAAAAATGATTATAAACTGATATTTTTAAACATAGAAACAGAGATTCCACAAATAGAAATATTTCTACCATGATTTGTAGTTTTAGTTACATTCATAACTAATTTAATGTCTCATTAACTTTAATACAAATTTAGTTGACTTTTATTTGATATTTGTTGCAATAAATAAATTAAACACATTTTGACATTTAGTTCAATGAAATTTAAATATTTGCGAATTAACTAACATTAAGAGTTATGCAATAAAATATTATTACAAAATAGCAAATCATAATTGAAACAAACTTTCAATTGTTTAAAACTATTTTTGATATTACGATATTTTAAACGATAAGTTTTATGTGCAAATTGTCACAAGACTTATTTTATTAAAAAACCTAATTTTAGAGTTAATAATCTGTTATTAAATCTCTCTTTAGTGAACACTATTATAATTGAGATTTGCATTAAGAATCCAAATGTCAATTCAAATGGCATTAGAACACAGTCTCCAAGAATTTGTTACTTTTTTTAATCAAATCCCTCTCTCTATACAGACTACACATTTTGTAAACCTCTACACTCGGACTTCAAATAATGCCAACTTTTATTGCATTTTGTTAACTTCCTATAACTCATATAAAATATACAATTAAATTAATTATTCAAATGTAAATCGATTTCAATATACATTTATAAATGTGATTACCTTTTTTGAAATAACTTGTTTAGTGGTTAAATCTTTTTATTTTATTTACAAAACTTTGCTTTAACTTTCAATGTAAACAGGAATCTTAAAATACATTTCATATGAATTTCTCTATGCAAGAGAGACACTTCTCTGAATGCTTGTGCTGTGCTGTGCTCTGCTATACATGTACACAGTTATGAAAGCATTCAGAGATGTGTCTCTCTTGCATAGAGAAATTCATATGACATTTTTACCAACAAAACAAAATATATAATAATTTTAGTGTAAATGAACTTATTTTGTAATGAAATTCATTTAAGTACCGACTTATCAGCTATTATTAGCTCATTTTTGCGACTTCTCTCAGTCCTTATAATTAGACTTAACTTTATTTGTGGTGCTATTTATAGGTCATCCCTACTATAACTGTATCGTATGGCTGGACAACAGGACGAACGAACTCGTCGACCAAATACTGGACCGCATCCCGGGTCGGGATCTCAATTGGTTTAAGTCAAAGACAGGTCTTCCCATATCAACCTATTTCAGTGCATTGAAACTCAAATGGCTTATCGATACCATACCCGGCATTAAGGCTGCCATCGCTCACAAGAGGCTTCTCTTCGGAACCGTCGACTCCTGGCTCTTATGGAAACTGACGGGACGTCACGTCACAGACGTTACGAACGCGAGTCGGACTCTTCTCATGGATTTAGAAACCCTTGAATGGGATCCATATTTATTGGACTTCTTTAAGATAGCAAAACATATTTTGCCAGAAATCAAAGCCTCTTCCGATTATTTTGGCGATATTACTACCGGTCCTCTCAAAGGCTTTCCAATCACCGGTCAGTTTATTTTGAATTATCCCTGAGTTTAGTGTTTTGTCAAAAGTTATTACAATTATTATATGAAAAACATTTGATTGCGAAATTAGTTGAGACTATTTCGCAAAATAATTAAAATTTAATTGAATTTCCAATACATTAGCAATAAATACACGTTAAACGACTTGAGACTTAACATTGAATTTGAACTTTCCATAAAAATCCTTGAAATGTGAACAGAATTACAATTAATTATACACTTTATAAACAATATTAAAAACGATCATTAATTATTGAATTCTTTGAAAACTATCCAAAAGAATGAATTAATTAAATGTAAAAGTTTTCCAATGAATTCATAATGAATTTGAAATTATTACAGGAGTTATCGGTGACCAAAGCGCAGCACTGGTGGGTCAGAAGTGCTTTGACATCGGGCAGGCAAAGGTGACATACGGAACAGGGGGCTTTTTGATCCAGAACATAGGCCCCGGACCAGTTCACGGCGCTCTCAAGGGTGTGTCCAAAGAGGCCAAAACTAAATTAGTTACGACTGTCGCCTATAAGTTTGGCTCAAGACCTGTCTGTTACGCTCTGGAGGGCAGTGTTGCCATAGCGGGGGCGGCGGTCACGTGGCTCAGGGATAATCTGGAGCTCATTGAAAATTATACTGAAGTTGAAAGCATTGCAAAAGGCGATCAAACAGCCGGTGGACTCTTCTTTGTTCCCGCATTTCAAGGTATATAACGATAATTGGATATTGTTTTTTGTTTATTGACTATAAATTAATTGTATGTTTGAATGCATGGATAGGTCTATACGCGCCGTATTGGGACGCAAACGCGACGGGAACTATAATAGGGATCTCGCAGTTCAGCCGCAAGTGTCACTTAGTTCGGGCCACTCTCGAAGGCGTGGCCTTTCAGACAAACGACATTCTGGCGCTCATGCGTCAGGACAACAGCGGCATTAAAGTGGACGGAGGTATGAGTGCTAACAACCTGTTGT